GTGGGGGTATGCGGGGGGGGGGAGGGGAGGGGCGATAATATCAAAATTATAGTATGCAGTCATGGCAGATTATATGACTTTGAGTTTTTGTTGTATTCAATTTAATTAGTTAATGAATATTCATAAATTATGTCATGATAAAATATATGTCTACAAGAGTTATGTTAATCAATTTATTTTATGTTATATTTAAATATATTTGTCACATTGAATTACTCAACTTAGTTTTGTATCAATAAAGTCACTTAATTTATGGATTTTTTTTATAAAGTCATTCAAGTTAAACTAATTTTTCTACCATTATTATAATCAAAAGGTAAAAGAGATAATTGCACATAATATATTATGTTTACCTCTCTTATTTTAGTTTTTTTTAATAATAATTGTCTTAACTTAATTAATATTAATTCAATTGTCCAAGCATTAAGCATTAATGCAATTTGACTCAGATTTCGTCATCTTCTATCACAATTTATACCCACTAACATATGCACTTAATATTTGAACAATTGTATATGAATTTTATGGTGAGCAATTGTATGTGAATTTCATGGTATCATTACTTCAAATACAATATCATTTATTTTACTATATTATAAATATTGTAAAAGTTGCTTTTTTGTAAGATGAAAACTGTCTTTTTTATATAACAAAGATTTGGTGTGATTTTCATTACCTTTTATCTTCTTTTTTTCATTGTTGCCTTATTCATTATTTAATAATTTTATTTCATCCATTTTCCTATCCTTTTTATTAGAATTCTACCTTGTATTTGACTTTTTGTTGGTAATGTTATAAGCTTAATTTTTCATATTGTTGATACGTAACATTATGAAACAAACAGAAACTATATACCATCTATTCAAATACTATATATATCCGAAATTTTCTTGTTTAATTTTCCTGTTCTTCATTGAAGAACTTTTCCTACTACAGAATAGGTCTCTAGTCAAAAGTAAATACTAAGTAGCATTTACAACAATAATAATCCTAAGAGTGACCGTTTAAAGAGAGTTATGATATACGTATATCTTATTCCTAACTTTGTGGCGACTAAAGAGGTGGTTTCCGATAGACTCTCGGATCAAGAAAATTTACTACTCGCAGTTATGAAAAAAATACATGAAATGTGATCAGAATATTCAATAGTTTAAAGTACTATACCATATCTCAATTTACAAAAATGATGGCAAATGTAGCACAAGACAAGTTATTTTTCCAAGTTTACCTGTAAGGAGAGTTTCCCCCTTGTAACTTGACCAAAGAATAATATGAACCATATTTTCCTATAGAAAGTAGATCAGAATGTGAGCCTTGTTCTGCAACTATTCCATCCTTTATAACAGCAATGGAACTAGCTTTCTGTATTGTAGAAAGGCGATGAGCCACGACAATGCATGTTCGTCCAACCATCATTTTCTCTAGTGCTTCTTGGACCGCGCTTTCAGATACAGTGTCAAGAGCACTAGTTGCTTCATCTAACAACAGGATTTTCGGGCTCTTGAGTATTGCTCGGGCAATGGCTATTCGTTGTTTCTGACCTCCTGATAGTTGCACTCCCCTTTGTCCACATTGTGTTTCATATCCATCATTCATTCCACTGCATCACAGAAGTAAATGAGTTATTGGTTGTTACAGAATGTATATAGACTTTATTCTTAGTAATGTACATAAGATATAGTTAGGTAGCAGACTCGTAGTGATCCTTCTTTATTTCTTTCCTATGTTAGCACTAATGTACTGTATTTATACATTGCTTACCTATTGGAATAAGACAACAACTAACTCCATTCGATTACATGGTATCAGAGCCAGGTCAGGTTCATCCTGATCACACTCTAGTTGGGCTTGGGCGTGAAGAGGGTGTTAGAGTGTCACATTGGCGGGGAATGGACTGGTGATTTGTTTATATGAACTTGGGCAATTCTCGCTCATGAACTAACTTTTGGGGTTGAGTTAGGCTTAAGGTGTCATATTATGGTAAATTTAAAGTTCGTGCAACAGTTTTCTTTAGCAAATGACATTTATTATGGAAGAACTTCAAATAAATTGATGATGAATGTATGTATATCTGACCTTATAAATTCATGAGCATTAGCAAGCACAGCAGCCTTTATTATCTCAGATTCGCTGGCGTTCTCTTTTCCATATGCAATGTTCTCATAGATAGTTCCTGCAAAGAGAGTTGGTTCTTGGCTAACTAATGCAATACTTTGCCTCAGGGATCTCAAGTTGTAGTCTTTTACATCCCTTTCGTCGATATAGACTGATCCTTTATCTGGATCATAAAATCTTTCAATAAGCCCAATTATCGTTGATTTTCCACAACCACTTTGTCCAACTAATGCTACTGTAGTTCCTGCACTTATCTTGAGGCTTAATCCTCTGAAAATCAGCTGATCTGGTCTTGATGGATAAGCAAAAAATAGTCTTTTCAGCTCCACACGTCCCCTTATTTGTGTTCTCGTTGCATCTATTGCTGATGAATTATCTGGATTGATCTCAGTGTTTCTATCGAGGATTGCAAAGACTGAACCCACAGCATTATTTCCTCTAGATATATCTTTAGTCATGCTTCCTGCCTCAGCAATAGTATAAGCAGTGAAAAGCAATGCTAGAAATGCTTGAAAAAGTTTCTCAGGAGATATGTCCCCTTGTGACAATAGTTTTCCGCCATACCAGTAAGCTAAAGCTGTAGAAGCTGCAGCTAGGAATTGAGAGCTACATAGACCTATACCGGCATACCAAGATTGTCGTATGCTTTCCTTTCTAGGACCTTCTAATGAGTCTCTAAAGAGCCCTACTATCCTTTTCTGAGATGAGAAAGCAGTTATTGTTCTATGATTAATAACAGCTTCACTTGCTAATTGGCTTCCCTCTCTTTGAGCTTTCTGTGCTTTTACAGACATACTCTTCATCAGTACAGTCCTCGCGTAAAAACTTCCAATGAGCAAAGGCTGAGCTGCCATCATCACTAAGGACAGCTTCCATGTTAGGAAAAGTCCTAATGTATAAGCAAATGTAGCAGCAAAGAATGCTTGAGCTAGCAATGACATACGGTCTCCCACAAGGGAACGAACCATGTTTGCTTCAGTTGATAGCCGAGCACATATGGCTGCACTCGTGTTCTCGTCTTGATCAAACCATTTGATCTCAAACGTCATGAGTTTGGCAAGCAGCATTTCCCTAATCCTTCTGGTTAGCCTTTCTCCCATGACAGCAAAATTGTAGTGTTGGATAACATTCGTGAAGAAGTTGAAAACAGCAAGACCTATGAATATGAAAGAATAGATCCTCGCGTGGGATTGGATGGAGGATTTATCAGGCCGGAAGTAAACAGATATAACTGCCCCCACGCAGTAGGCATTTATTGGCTGAACAGCTCCTGAGCCTATCGCTCCTATGCATCCGAGCAAAGCTCTACCCCATTCAGGAGCATTCATTTGGAGTAAACGCAATTGTGAAGGTGCTGGATGAGCCTCTTTTGTGGAATGGTTATCATAACTGTCATATGATTCTTCGTACTGGACGGAATAAGGAACTGACAATGGTGTACTTCTAGAAAATGCTGGACTGAACGAGTACATAACCGGTGTGGCTGCTGCACTAGATATCATGTTGAATGGACTTTGAGGGGTATTACTACCTTTTCGATAGCTACTTCTTCCACCAGTCTTTTGATTAGGGGTATTGGCAACATCATTTAATGTGGCTAGTTGCTGCAGCTGCACCATTTTGTAATACTCTCCACCTTCGCCATCAGTCATTTGCATAAGCTCTTCGTGTGTTCCAGACTCGATTACTCTCCCTTGTTGAAGAACTACTATCCTATTCGCCATTCTAATGGTGGACAGACGGTGAGCTATGACGATTGCAGTTCTTCCCATAGATGCATGATCCAGGGCCTGTTGTACAACTCTTTCAGATTGTGAATCCAATGCACTTGTAGCTTCATCGAGCAGCAGGACTTTTGGATCTCTTATCAAAGCCCTCGCTATGGCTATTCGCTGCTTTTGTCCTCCAGATAACTGCAGACCAAATTGCCCAACCTGCAACATTTGAAGGTACAATTATAACAAGGACTTTAAACACAGTAAGACTTGTAGTGATGTGGTTTTCTTTTTACTATCACACTCCCTCCGTTTCAATTTGTTTGTCTTACTTCCCTTTTTAGCCCGTTTAAAAAAGCAACTCCTTCATTCCAACTTTCCACATAGCACGTTTAAGACCACAAGATTAGATGACATTTTATACATTCTACCTATTAATTTACGACCACAAGATTCAAAAGTACCTTTTACTTTCTAAAACTACGCCAAGTCAAAACCAGACAAACAAATTGAAACGGAGGGAGTATTATGAAACTAAGACTATGTACCTGAGTTTCATATGCATCTGGTAACTTTATAATAAAATCATGAGCATTTGCAGCTTTTGTTGCCTTCTCTACTTCTTCCATAGTTGCTCCCTCTTTGCCAAATAGTATGTTCTCTTTTATGGTTGTTGCAAAGAGAATTGGTTCTTGATTAACCAGACCTATTTGGGACCTCAGCCACTTTATATGGAGTTTCTTTATCTTGTGACCATCCAACGAAATATCGCCTTCAATGGGATCGTAGAATCTCTGAAGCAATGAAATGATTGTGGACTTCCCTGAACCACTACCCCCAACAAGTCCTGTAGTTTTCCCAGGTGAAATTCTAAGATTCAGGCCTTGCAAGATAGGCGTATCAGGCCTTGAGGGGTAACTGAAGTATACACCATTGAATTCGATTTCTCCTCTTACATATGACAATGCTTTCCCCTTCTTGTCTTCAGTGTCAATTGCAGGTTGTCGATCAATCATCTCTGTGATCCGAATTGCAGCAGATTTTGCCTCCGTGATTGCTGTAAGATTTGGAAGAGCCGACAGAATGTTTCTGCAAGAACATGAACAGCTTAATCAACATCATTTCTAGCAACATATAGAGAGAGACTAAAAACATGAGTATTAAGGTAAGAACTATATTGCTCGGATCCTCCAAAATGCACTACTTTTTGGAGGATTCGACACCTACCTAGTAACATTTTTTGAAGAGTCCGAGCAACATAGGGTGTAAGAAAACTTACAATCCTCCCATAAGAACATTGAAACCTGCTACAAATACATCACCTCCTTTTTCTCCATGTTTGCTAACTAGAATCGATCCCAGCCATGCTTGAAAAGCCCAACTAATATAAACCATTCCCAAGCTACCTAGCAACAACCCTCTAGCAAAGCCTTGTTTGATTCCTAGTTCCATAACTTTCTGCAACGATTGACTGAACTTCTCGAGAGTTTGGTTCTCAGCCACATAAGAGTACAATGTTCTTATAGAAGAGATAGCTTGTTCTGCTATTCCCCCGGCGACTCCATATGACTCTATCATCTGCATTCCCACATTCATCATCATTGTACCAAATCCAAGTCCAGGAATGATGAACATTAAGGTGAATGGTATCGCGGCCAACGTGATCTTCCATGAGAGTAGAAAGGCAAAGATATGACAGAACAGGAAGGATGACATGTAAGCCAGGCAATCAGGTATCTGCATCAAAGCACAAAATAAAGATTAGAGGCTATAAAATGTAAAACTTGAGAATAAAGATTGACTATTACATTTTTTCCTATCAACTTAAAATAATTCTATAGTTATACTACATTATTTGAGAAGCAAAAGTATTACTACTACTATAAATCTTCTGGTTAAGTATTGCAGCATATAAACACATCATGTTTGATGTTTCTTCACAGATCACCTTGCAGTGGCAGAACTCCATTGACACAAGGGTCGTCACTTGAACATCTCTCGCTAGAAAATTATACTATGTATATAAGTAAAATATTACTCTAGTACCTTTTATACATGTATACCAAATCTTGGCTCCCTTGACGAGTATATTGTTGTTTTTATAACTATTTACAACAGCAAAAAATTATTCACAGCACAAATGGAAGAGAATATATACATACCTTCTCGCCTATGGTGATTTGGATGGTAGTTGAATCAGCTGATACAGTCGAAATTACTTGATAAGTAGTGGAAGATTCAGCTGCCTGTGTATCGAAAAATCCAACTTCTTGCCTTAGAACAGATTTTAGGTACTCTAATCTCATTCTAGATGTTTGTCTTTCTGCAGTTCTTGCCCAACATAATCCTTCTGCACTCACAAATGTTTCAATATGTCATCTTTTGTTACGATCACGAAAAAAGAAGACAAAAACGATCTAGGATTTGAAGTTTGCAGGTTTTATAACAATCTCAAGTTAATATATAATACTAATGATCAAGTTCACAGTCAAATAATCCAAGGATTAATAGTGTTACTATTTACCCTCCAGTGTGAGGTGCTCAACCACTTGAACAAGCCTCACTTGTCGTTGATCCGCCTTTTTGTGTTAAATCAAGAGAGAAATCCTACATAATGAACCTTAGCTTTCACTTACCAACAAAAGCAGCCAGTCCAACTCCAAATGCAACATAGAGTAACCTGAGAGAATACTGCAATAAAATGAAAACAAAACACACTCTTAACTAATGTTTACTACTAATTAATATGCAAATTAAAGCTAATTAATCATTGTGTCACCTTGTTGACAGTCTTCATAGAAACAGAGTTACTTAGATTTCCATAATCATTAATTACATCACTAAGCACAAACATCATTAGAGGAATCTGAAGACCATCTCCCATACTACCTAATGTTCCAAAGAACATTAACAACTTATCTTTTTTATCAGCAAATCTAAACATGCCTTGTTTATTATTACCTCCCATTATAGAAACAACACACAAAAACTCTATAATTATTCTTGTTTTTATAACATGCTTGTTGCAGGCCACAGGGCAGATTATTAACTAAATGGGAATATGCAATAAGTTTATATTTGCCGGCTTTGTTTGTTGGTAGCCTTAAAACTTTACAAATTTGTTGGTTTTGTCAATTCCGGCAGGACAATGATAGCTTGCTTGGTCTCCTTGTCTTTAATTATTTCTTAGTTCCTATCGTGAGCCGATACAAAATTTAAAGTTATTAGCACTAAATTGGTCAATTCGATATCTGTATTGAATCTCGATTAATTAATTTGAATTTACGCTGAGTAGGTCCATTTGGGGATAGCACTTCCTGCTTAAGGAATTAGTAGTCATAATCCAGTGCATCACATTCCTTGATGGTGTTGAGGGATTTAAAGTACATAATAATATATAATGTATATCAACATATTATAATAAGTAATATGCTTTGTTTTCTAGGTTATTTATTTATTATACTTTTTACTAAAGTTGTAGTTATTATCTATTAAAAATGACATAATAGTTTATAATTTTTTTTATTTGAAGTGTCTTTTTTAGATTCTTGAAACTTGGCCGGACTAGTTTAAGGTAACTTTAGAATCATTATCCACACGTCATTTTTAATAAAATCTTGTCTAGGTGATAAATTAATTGTCCATCATTGTCAATGTATTGTATTGTATGTATTGTGTTGTATCGTATTATATTGTTTTAATGAATACACTGATTGGATAAATTGTATTGTTCTTTGTCGTTACATAATGTCACATATCCATAATTTGAATGATAAACGTAAAAAATTGTAGTCTTTGGGGTAGAGATACTATGAAATGACATAGTAAATGATAAAATAGAATTATTGAATATAAGTAGAGATAAAACAAGAATAAAATATTACGGTAATGATGCGATCGCACCACATCGTTCGTTACATAAAATTAGTCTTTGTCGTTACCTTACGATGGATTTAAACGATACGATACAATAAAATTTAAGTAACAATCAAAACAAACATTATATTTAGACTAACAATACAATACAATACAACATATAACAACCCTCCAAACAAGGTGTCAGTGGTAAAGATATTTAAAATGAGTAAAACTGACTCATTTTAAATAATTCAAAGATATATGTAACCCTAAACTATTTCACTCATCAAGAAAGGAAGGAAAACAAAGTTCTTTCTAGTATTTCAAAATTAATTGTCTGCCAATACAAGTAAAAAGGAAAGGAACTCACATGTGTTTCCTAAAGAGAATAAACTTTTTCTCCCTTTCCTTGGTAGAATTCCTCCATTGATATTTTCAGTAACAAGGAATACAAGAATAACTATTAATTATGTATCTTACTTTCTATATTTAATAAAATATTTTTTTAATTTCAATATCTCATGACATATTTAAAATCATATCACATTAAGGCGACAAGATTCAAAAATATTTATTTTCACCAATCAAATTAAACACATACTTAAAAAGTAACAAAGAATATAGTAAAAAAGAGAGAGGAGTAACTAAAAATATAGAGTAGAAAGAATCTTGTGAGCAATAAAATGCATCATCTACAAAGTACAACCTTGAGGCTTGTTTGGTACCAGTAATAATAAATAACTAATTTTAAAATAAATTTATTTCATACGTGATTAAGATAAAATCAGAAAATAATTTTTCTCGAGATTAATTATCATGGGATTATATATATATTTTTAATCCTATGTTGAGGATCTAACAGTACTTGTGCAAATTTCATCATCAGTATTGTAAAAAAACATTGTTGGCTCCTTTCATAATCAGTTCCTTAATTTCTTCATTCACCAAATTCCTTTCTTGGATTAGACAGTTTCAATTTAACTAATCCAATTTTTAGATCAAATTATCAAAATTAAACACTGATTTAACTCTACATAACCAAACCTAACTGTTGTAATTGAGTGTCTCTGTAAAAAGATTCAATCTTTTTTTGTTTCATCTGTGCTGTGTTGGTACCTTTGAGTTGACAGAGAAGCAAGAATTCAATCGGGTCATTGCTCATGCCCGGTTCCAAATCCAAAACCCTAACATCTTTGTTCCGTGCCGCTACTAAATTATCAAAGGAATGGAAATCTGCTTCCCCTTCAACTTCAGCCAAAGATGCTGCCCTAAAACAATATGTATCTCCATCTTCTAAACCCTCTAATGATTCTTCTAAGTCTCTCAGTGAAATAGCTGCTGAAAGTTTCAACTTTAAGTCTGCTGCTGACTATGGTAAGCACATTTTCCCAGTTCTTATTTGCTCTAATTTTATTGATTTCTTAGTTAGTGGTAAGGTATGCGTATTCACTACGTTGCCAAACCCCACTTGTGGAATTATGCTTCATATGTTGTTGTAATAGTTATTATTTCAGAAAGTTTATTTTTTTGTTAGATTTCAAAAAAGTGAACTTTTTGTGAGATAATAACGGTTAGTTGAGTGACTGAGAAATCTCTCATTGTTATAAAGGCAAAAGGAGGAATATTTAAAGGTGTTTAATTAGTTTATGTGTTTTGGGTTTGTTTGTTTGTGTAGGAGAATCATCAAAACTGCTGTCAAGTGAACTATCGTCGATACTCTGTGGTATGTTTTTTCTTCTCTTTTTTGGTTGTGTTAATTTGATTAATTAGGTGTATTCTTTATAGTTTGTATTGTAGGGGTTGTTTGGTTAAAAGCAAAGTTAAATCCTGAGATTGATTATAACCAGGATAGATAGTCCCACTTATTCTCATGATTTTGGTATAAATTTTATCCTAGTTTTAGCTTATACCGACAAGGCCACAACTGAATATCAAATGCATTTATAAGTGAAGAGTTGATGAACTTAAACCCCTTAATACCAGTAACCAAATGGACACTAAGTCTTAGATAAGTTAAAATCTGAGGAGGACAGCTAACTTATGTTTTTTTTTTTAAAAATATTTCCTTCTCTTTGTTTATTCTTTTATTGACTCTTTGTATTGTTTTTTTTACTTTGGTATATTGCGTGGACTCAGTTGTTCAAATTAGAGACGAGTTGTTAAATATGAATGCACTTATGATAGATACCATCATATTGGTACAACATCCTGTTTTGTTTATTGTACTTGGGACAATATTAGTGTGTTAAGAGTAATAGTGAAGAAGCTCTCCAGCTTTCCTGCGAGTTGTACTTTTCCTGTACTGACTAAATTTAATTCTTCCTTTGGCTCGGATTTGGGGAACTTTCGCTATGTACACAGCTTTTATCTCCTACCACGAGCTAGAAGGTGTTATTACCTTTCTCTGCTAAATGTACATTGAAATGGTAAATATATCTGTCAATATGTCTTGTTTCCTTCCTTCACGAGTTAAGATTTTTGGAGTATGGGGTATCTTGGAGCTTCAATAATTCATGCTGTGACCTTTGAAGTCTTAAATAATAGTTTGAGAACTCCTAAATGAGTCACCACAAATTTTCAATTGCCAAATTGGAAAGTTCTGCCACAAATGTCTAAAATGTCATTCCCCAGTTTAGGATTTGAATCTATCTGAATCTGTTGTGGTTCTCTGTCTTGGGAATTCTTGTAATTATAATGATATTTGATAGCCAGAGGTTGAACAAACATGTAAACTATGATGTTTGTCCAGCTACTCTTATCCTTGTACTGATATTTATGCATTATCCTGGGGGCTTAAGAGATATTAAGAAAGTAATATGTGTGGTTGTATTATTATCTTTTATATTTTTGATGAAGTAGTTAATTTTAATCAAGGAATAAAGAAGATGCATAGTTACAGAAGGTCCAAAAGGTTACCTCCGGTACAGTGCTAAGATCAAGGAGCTAAGAAAATCCAAAAATATATCAATGCTATTTACAGTGGTATGAAATTCCAACTGAACAAACTAGCTAAGCATTTTGAGGTAGTACCTTTTTTTTAAAAAAAATTGTTGTTATTTCTAGAGCATTCCATGATGGTGCTTTAAGATCTTTTCTCATGTCTGCTTAGTGGCTTGGAAACTGCATATTCTTTTTACTAGATTCCTTGTGATGTAACTAGATGTGGACAAAGAATGCACAACTTAGAATAACTATTTATCTTTTCATATGTTGTCTGTATGCAATTGTCTTACATCCCATTTTACCTACATATTCTTCTGATTATCTTTATAGGTGATTTAAATTCTTATTTGAGCGATCCAGAAGAGAGTAGTAATGGAAGTTGCTTGGAAAATGTATTGGATGTACCATGGTTATCAAATGTAGAAAAATGCAACATGTCATTGCGGCGGAAAGAAATAGCACGAGAAAGGAAGGAAAAGTGGACCTTCAAGAGTACTCAGATAGGTCGTTTCCACCAGTTGGTTAAACAATGTGCTTGTAAATTGGGGACTGATACTACCATTAAAGTGTTTGGTAAATTGGGACGAGAAACTGGCCTGAAAGAATATAATGCGCTAATACGACTCTGTATAGAGAAGGCCAGAGAAAGTAATGATGAAGAGGTGTCGTTGAAGCAGCTTTCAAAGGCTTATCAACTTCTTAAATCAATGAAGGAACAGGGTTTCCAAGTAGAAGAGGAGAGCTATGGTTCAATTCTTATGTATTTTATTGATTTTGGCATGGTACAAGAGTTTGATTTTTACTGTGAGCTCATTATGGATGGAAATGCTGATTCACTTGCAAGATTAGCTTACTATGAGATGTTGCTTTGGACTAAAGTGGAAAATGAAGATAAAATAGAAGAACTCCTCTACCATCTTTCTCTTTATGATGGTGCTGATAAATCTGCCTTTCAAGGTTTGCAATTTACTGTACATATACCCCTATTACTATTTTAGTTTTTGTACTCTGGTTGTTTGATCCTTCTGATTAGAAATTACTTGTGGTACCTTGCACTTAATGATTAGTGATAAAAATGATTGAGTTGCATGTCTCTTTTATCATGGTTACTGTACATGATGTTTATAATGCATTTGCAAATTGTTGATGAATTTAGAGTCTGTCTTT